GCGAGTCGTTTCCTCCAGGCACTGGTCACAGAGTGCGTGCAGACAAGCGATCAGCTTCCTCCTTCTGTGCTGTCTTTCGCATGAGATGCACGCCCACAGTTTGGCCGACATGGTCGATGCGAACACCAGTACTGCCACTAGACACTCTAGAGTATCACAGGTCGAGGCTGCCACGTAGGCTGTTGTCGTCACGGAGTGCGGGGTGTTCGACGGTGCACCGGTGCCGGTGGTGTTCTCGCCGGTGCGACGCGCCGCTGAGAGGAAACTGCGGAACGATGATTCTTATCCGAGTCGACCTATGGCTATGGCAGCACTTGTATCCTAGGCAGACGCCGGTAACTTACTTGCTTTGCGTGTCTGCTCACAGATAATCTCGACCCGGCACGCAGGTTGCACGGAGGCCAACACGAAACGCTCAGAGAAGTGGAGCGAGGAGAACCGCTTGGAAGTTGGAGCGGCGATGGGAGGCTCGACGTGTTCTTCCGCCCTACAAGCTGTCTGTTAGGCCGCGGGGAAGAGGGGAAGATGCTACAAATTTGCAGGAGTATATCCGTGGAGCAGTGCCCAGCTAGAAAAGAACGAGGTGCAGCACTGTCGAAGCTCAGAGTCGAATGAAGATCTCCTGCCGCCGTCCAGCCTTGCGTGGTGCTAACGCTAGAATACAGTTCACTGTTCAGCTTCGCTCCTCCCAAGTACTACTAGGACACACCAGCGCACGTGCTATATCCCAGCAACTAGGCTAGCGGTAATAAGTAATGCGTCAGGGTAGTCTAGCTTGGGCCTTGGGGTCGTATCCGCTGGATCGAGTGAAGGATTTTCATTTTTATATCCTTGTCTTTTATGTTTCCTAGGCCCAGTTGAAGACCCGACACTCGACAGCGATCCCGAGCTAGCTCGGGATCGCCGAGTTGGCTCGGGATCGCAACAGGAGCCAAGCGGCCCAAGCCAAGGTCTAAGCCGACACTGCGCATGCGCGATAGCACATCCAGTAGATCTAACTGTTACGAGAGTACGAGCGATTCTCAAAAGTCACAAGGAAAAAGTTAGTTCGCTAGCCAGACTGTGTACACCCACGATAAAGGCTGGGCGAGTTTCGGGCTCTCAGGCCCCATATGGCCATATCATGGGCATATGTACTACAGGCTGCACTGCATTTCAATCTGACAATCATTTACACGCCACTTGCAAGTGATCGTACCACGTACCACCGCAAAGCTACGCGATACACAGTACAGGTGCGTGCACGCGTGTGCGGACAATCTAGCATGGCATGGCCATATGGTAGACTACAATGCCATGGACATGGTGTGTAGATCAACTACATTCCAGTGCCTGTAACTGTAAGGCTGTAGGCTGTAGGCTGTACTAGTACTAGTAGTAGACTGTAGGCTGTAGTGGACATGGAAATCCAGCGATGCCTAGTAGTAGTTGCAACGCTGACGCCGAGACCTCTGGTCGGTTGAGTTGCTCCCAGCACATCAGCACGTCGTCCCTACATCCCCTATGTTTTGTCCTTTTCCTCGTTTCTTTTTGTTCTCCACCTGTATTCCAGTAGGGCTGTGTCAATAGTAAAAAAAAAAAAAAAAAAAAAAAAAGTCGATTGTCCTGGGCCGGCCGGCGCCCTCACGTACAGAACGCTGTGCGCAGTGCACAAATCACAATCATGTAACTACTTACTTGTTGATCCGATGGGACCAGCGCGCTGCAGCGCATGAATGCATGTGTGTACCGCTTCCCACGGCTGCATGGCCAGCGCCCTGAGGACGCTAGATGTGCGACCGGATTTCCATGTCCACAACAGTAGTACAAGGACCACCATTAGGCATTACTGCTAATAGTAATACTGGCATTACACAATGATTACAGGCATTAGTATTACAAAGTCATGGTGACATAGCAGACGAGAAGACTCGATGGCGCGGCGCTGTTCACCATGCTCGTACCACTGCCGCGTCAGTTGATTTCGGATAAAGCCTTTCACTTTCAGTGACTTTCATCAGTGACCGTAGTCAGCGTAGATCACATGTGCAAAAAGAACAATCACAAGCTATGAACAAGAGTGCATTATGGACTCTTGATATGAAGTTCTAGCATAAGAGAGTAATTAGTTACCGGTGTGTCGGATATCTGAGCGCACCATGTGTCGCTTTGCCGAGTTTGCGTTTCGATTCCCCGTGCACGCGTGAACCTCGGAAACTGAAAGAGAGGATCTGACCACAGCACAAGGTGACACTGACCGCTACGGCTAAGCACAGCTGTACCGCTGCAATCAGTCTACATAACAGGCCGGACAACAACAGTGCAGCCTTATTCGTAACGACATACAGCTGCAGTACTCTTTTACACACTACAGTGCTGGCAAATCCGACCCCCTGAGCGGTGGGTTCACATTCTTTGCGATGTGAGCGCACCACTGAGGGGGTCGGATTTCAGTTGCCAGCAGTGTACTTTTCTGCCTATACAGTCATAATAATAGGCCATCTGGTCAGCAGTGCAGTGCGTGGCTGAGACTGTGAGAGCTGGGACTCAATACTAGTGACCAGAGAACAAACCAGGGGTCTGTACAACTCCCCGAAACAAACCAACCAGGCCAGGATGATCACACCTGCATGCGGTGTACTCACTGAACTAACTTACTTACTTTTCGAGGACAAGGTGGCATGTGTTGATCATGAGTCAGGACGTATGTATTACTGCACAAGGACCAGTGCAATACCGGCCGATATCTGCACGAACGGCGAAGCCGTAAGTGCAGATATCGACGCCGGTATTGCACGCGTCCGAGTGCAGTAATACATTTTTCTGACATGTCACATGACAATCGACATGGCAACAGCGAATCCTAGCGCGACTTGCCGTGCTTTGAATCAGCCACTGAAGACCTGTGAGCGCTTGCAGGTCTCCGATTTTCCAATCGGAGCACGCCCAGGCGTGCTCCGATTGAATCGGAGCACGCCTAGGCGTGCTCCGATTCAGCCATCAGAGGCCGCTTTTTTTTTTTTTTTTACAGCGCCAACAACGAGCGTTCAGCGATCACAGCAGCAGACTGAGTTCCACGATCCCGACATTGATGTATGGAATCGAGCATGAGTACGAGGACGAAAGTGCGGAATCGGAGCCCGACGCGCGCTAGCGCGGAGGGCTCCGATTCTAGCACTTGAGTCCGAGTACGAATGCTTTGATACCATTTCTGACATGCATTGCACGAACTACTTCGTACTAGTACTAGTACTACTACATGTAGTACTTCACACATACCTAGTACCTACTCAAGGCACGCACACTAGACCAGACAAGGAACACAACTAGTCGCCAGTTTAGTACTTCAGACATGTTACATAATGACTAATGTACACAGTCACAACACAGAGATAAAACAAGGGCGGTCTAGTCAGCTAAAAACCAGGTCAGTTCAGCTTCTCTTCTTCGCAGTGACTACAGCCTACAGCCTACAGGTGCAGGTGAACATTGCAGTTTGCACCAAACTGAGCTCCGGAAAAGTTGATGGTCTTCGTAGCTTTCTGCATCAGAGACCGTTGGTGAGTTGGGGATTGCACTGTTGGGTCACAAGTTGCGATGTACTCATCAATGTCGGGATCGTGGAACTCAGTCTGCTGCTGTGATCGCTGAACGCTCGTTGTTGGCGCTGTAAGAGCACGGGTAGCAGCATTGGTTGCAGTTGGAGACTCTCCATCCAGAACTGCAGCCATCTCTTTTCTCTTTTGTTCTGAATTCCTGTTGGCATATGCGGTCAACGACTGGACCTGGCGATGTCCCGTCGTCCCCATGATCGCTGTCTCCGACACGCCCGCATCCACAAGCTTCTGCACTGCTGTTGCGCGGACACAATGATTTGTGTAGGATCTCGAGAGGTTGGCTTTGTTGGAGATCCTTTTCATCATAGCCTTTATGGTGTTCTTACCCAGCGGTAAACCATTGAAGGCTTGCGTTCCGGGCTTTACAGAGCGAGATGCCATCTGAAACAGTCTCTCGCTCTTCGGGCTGAGAGACTCCAAAAAAAAAAAAAAAGCGGCCTCTGATGGCTGAATCGGAGCACGCCTAGGCGTGCTCCGATTCAATCGGAGCACGCCTGGGCGTGCTCCGATTGGAAAATCGGAGACCTGCAAGCGCTCACAGGTCTTCAGTGGCTGATTCAAAGCACGGCAAGTCGCGCTAGGATTCGCTGTTGCCATGTCGATTGTCATGTGACATGTCAGAAGTATGGAATCGAGCATGAGTACGAGGACGAAAGTGCGGAATCGGAGCCCGACGCGCGCTAGCGCGGAGGGCTCCGATTCTAGCACTTGAGTCCGAGTACGAATGCTTTGATACCATTTCTGACATGCATTGCACGAACTACTTCGTACTACTAGTACTACTACATGTAGTACTTCACACATACCTAGTACCTACTCAAGGCACGCACACTAGACCAGACAAGGAACACAACTAGTCGCCAGTTTAGTACTTCAGACATGTTACATAATGACTAATGTACACAGTCACAACACAGAGATAAAACAAGGGCGGTCTAGTCAGCTAAAAACCAGGTCAGTTCAGCTTCTCTTCTTCGCAGTGACTACAGCCTACAGCCTACAGGTGCAGGTGAACATTGCAGTTTGCACCAAACTGAGCTCCGGAAAAGTTGATGGTCTTCGTAGCTTTCTGCATCAGAGACCGTTGGTGAGTTGGGGATTGCACTGTTGGGTCACAAGTTGCGATGTACTCTTCTGACATGTCATCGCACCCCTGCCACCACACAGTCTCAGTCTGTCACCACACACTTGTGTGTGTGACTTGACACGGTCTGGTGCAACCCTAGAATGCTTCATGCAACCCTGCTATCATTTCACAGTCATACAACACAGCACAACCAGTCGCGTTCATTTTTAGAGGAACACTTCTTTCGAGCAGCTGCTGTATACACGGGAGATCATGGAAGTAGCGGGACAGCTTGCTCATGTCGTCGTCGCTGATGGGGTGTTTGTGCTCCACCGCTTTGACTTCTCCCCGCTTTCTTTGGCTTCAGGAGGAAAGCCTTCAATGCAATGTTTGCGTCCTTGAACGCTGGGTCACTGTGGACGTTCATGAGCCGCTTCAACTCGACTAGCTTGCGATGTATTGCGGAACGGAAACCGAGCAAGCTTGATGCAGAGTAGAACTTCACTCCAGCTTTCTTCGGACGGAATTCGACGTATGCGTGTCGCAGAATGTAAGCTAGGTCGCTTGCCGTAACCGTACTCAGGTCACAGCGACGTCCTGTGTCTTTACAATACTCGTCGAATAAGCGGAGCCATTTGTCAGTTGCCTGCTCTGTGTTTTTGTTTTTCTGCTCAGGCTGTCGATGGCGGCGTCGGACAGTTTCTCAAATCGGCTGTCGACAGTCTTCTCCAATACTTGGGCGTCTGCTGTCTCGACTCTCACGGAGCTTGTGAAGTTGACTTTGCGGACGCAAGCCGGGTCCACATTCGCTTCCGCGACAGCGTCCTCGACCAATTATTATTTGGTGTGCTGCAGCAAGTCAGCAGCGACAGCTTGGCGGAGCGACTCGCAATATTCCCCAGTACACCGCCAGCCAATGACCAGATGACTATGTGGATGCACTGCAGTGCGATATTGCACCCCGGCGAGTGAGCGTGCAAATAACCTATATCTGCACGCTCACTTCGAAGCGAGCGTGCAAATAACCTTTCTGACATGTCACATGACAATCGACATGGCAACAGCGAATCCTAGCGCGACTTGCCGTGCTTTGAATCAGCCACTGAAGACCTGTGAGCGCTTGCAGGTCTCCGATTTTCCAATCGGAGCACGCCCAGGCGTGCTCCGATTGAATCGGAGCACGCCTAGGCGTGCTCCGATTCAGCCATCAGAGGCCGCTTTTTTTTTTTTTTGGAGTCTCTCAGCCCGAAGAGCGAGAGACTGTTTCAGATGGCATCTCGCTCTGTAAAGCCCGGAACGCAAGCCTTCAATGGTTTACCGCTGGGTAAGAACACCATAAAGGCTATGATGAAAAGGATCTCCAACAAAGCCAACCTCTCGAGATCCTACACAAATCATTGTGTCCGCGCAACAGCAGTGCAGAAGCTTGTGGATGCGGGCGTGTCGGAGACAGCGATCATGGGGACGACGGGACATCGCCAGGTCCAGTCGTTGACCGCATATGCCAACAGGAATTCAGAACAAAAGAGAAAAGAGATGGCTGCAGTTCTGGATGGAGAGTCTCCAACTGCAACCAATGCTGCTACCCGTGCTCTTACAGCGCCAACAACGAGCGTTCAGCGATCACAGCAGCAGACTGAGTTCCACGATCCCGACATTGATGAGTACATCGCAACTTGTGACCCAACAGTGCAATCCCCAACTCACCAACGGTCTCTGATGCAGAAAGCTACGAAGACCATCAACTTTTCCGGAGCTCAGTTTGGTGCAAACTGCAATGTTCACCTGCACCTGTAGGCTGTAGGCTGTAGTCACTGCGAAGAAGAGAAGCTGAACTGACCTGGTTTTTAGCTGACTAGACCGCCCTTGTTTTATCTCTGTGTTGTGACTGTGTACATTAGTCATTATGTAACATGTCTGAAGTACTAAACTGGCGACTAGTTGTGTTCCTTGTCTGGTCTAGTGTGCGTGCCTTGAGTAGGTACTAGGTATGTGTGAAGTACTACATGTAGTAGTACTAGTAGTACGAAGTAGTTCGTGCAATGCATGTCAGAAATGGTATCAAAGCATTCGTACTCGGACTCAAGTGCTAGAATCGGAGCCCTCCGCGCTAGCGCGCGTCGGGCTCCGATTCCGCACTTTCGTCCTCGTACTCATGCTCGATTCCATACATATCTGCACGCTCACTTCGAAGCGAGCGTGCAAATAACCTATATTTGCACGCTCGCTTCGAAGTGAGCGTGCAAATAACCTATATTTGCACGCTCACTTCGAAGTGAGGGTGCAAATATAGGTTATTTGCACGCTCACTCGCCGGGGTGCAATATCGCACTGCAGTGCATCCACATTGGCTGGCGGTGTACTGGGGAATATTGCACGCTCAGTAAGGCCGCTGATTGGCTCAAACCATGGAGACACTCACGTGGGGTGCGATAAATAATAATATCTACATGATCATACCACCAAGGCACACTACTGCACTACTGGTACAGCACTACACTACAGTAGTACAGTCATCTGCCTCAATTGCCACATGCACACGGCTATGTTCCCGAATATCAGAAGCACGCTTTTGCCCGCGCGTTTGTTTGTGTCACAGTGTGTATGCACGCGCGCGTGTGTGTGTGTCACAGTGTGTGTGTGTGTGTGGGGGGGGGGGGTGTATGTGTGTGCATGTGTGTGTGTGTGGGGGGGGGGGGTGTATGTGTGTGTGTATGTGTGTGTGCATGTGTGTGTGTGCATGTGTGTGTGCATGTGTGTGTGTATGTGTGTGTGTATGTGTGCATGTGTGTGTGCATGTGTGTGTGTGTATGTGTGTGTGTATGTGTGTGTGTGTGTATGTGTATGTGTGTGTGTGCGTGGTTTTCTGTGCACAAGTACTGTATAATGACTGGAACGATTCGGCAGAAACTCAGTGAAGAAGGGGGGGGGGGGGGGGGTGACTTATAATCCAGAAGGACTTTAAATCGGGGAAATACCGTGTGTATAGTGCCTTGTTTCAAAGCCGGTGTGTTGCACTACCGGTATGTTGCCCTGTTGTTTCTTCATTCAACAACGAAGACTGGAATATGCCCCTGCGCCTGACACCAGGCCAAGCATGATGTGCCAGCATACATGGCATGTGACGCCCGCACGCGAACCCACAGCACATACATGTACAAGTAGTAGTAGTAGCAGTACAACAGCAGCAACACGCCATAAACACAACCACAACCATGATGAGCTGCAAGTCGGTCTGTGTTCTATCCAGGACAGTGGGTGTGCTGTCTAGCATTGCCCGGCATGATGATAATCATGTTGCATGGTGTATGCCAGTAGTCGTAGTGACTCTAGTTGGTCGGGTAAGGCACGGTGTAAATACATCTACTGCTGCATTACGGCGATCATTTCTACTAATTTGCTAGTCTCAACCAGTGCGCAAGTCTCAATGGACTTGAGCATTATTATAACATGTACAATAAGGAATGCAATGAGTCTGTGGAAGAAGAGCAACACATCATCCACATCCTTCTTGCAAGCTCTGCTAGCAAGGCTGCTGCAAGCGCCAGCGATTGCGACGTCGACAATGGTAATTAGTATAAATACCGGTATCAAAACTTCATAATAATATAATTAATAATTATTATGACGGTGTACTTGAATAGCAAGCGGGCGGCCAAGGGCTGCAGTGATTGCCAATTGTCTCGACACAGTCCAACCTGTGGACGGAACAATCCTAATATACGCAAATCGATCTGCATAAATACACTAGATAGAGTAGCAAGTCGGGGAGGTCATGTTGCCGTTTGGAAGCACGCAATTGTCTGACTGCAGAAGCAACTAGCCCCGCCGACTGCACGGCACCTACTTCTTCTTTAGCTTGAACAGTGCTCCGTAGCTGGCCTTCCCGCTGTCCCGCGGGTCAGATGCTGCATAGATGCGCCGGGGGTCACTATTGTCTTGGTACACGGCAGATGAATGGCCGATGGAGCGGTTGGTGACCAGGATCGAGTGTCCAAGGCTACGCAGTCCAGCGATGGCCTCCTCTGAGAATCCCTCTGCAGCATTCACAAGAAGTGACGGGGACACTAGAGGTTATGCCAAATCAATGCTTCATATCAGTTGAGGAGTTTTAAAGCCTGGGAAGAAGTCTGAAAAACGTTGCCTGTCACCACCAGGACTCGAACCAGGGACCTTCGCTTGAGGCCAGCGATGGCGCGCGTCTAGCCCACTGAGTCATGAGCTACTGCAGTGTAGTATGGTGTAGCTGTCATCCCAGCAGCGGTCGTTCAATATTACCTTCAGACTTCAAAATTCATGCCTTCTTTTGCACATGCTACACATACACACCACAATGTCCGCTACTACTTCTGCCAGAATTTCCCACTAGGGATACTATCTAAAAAAAAACCCACATTTATTCCATGATCTGGCTGGCTGGGTTTGAGGGATTGCTCGATACCAACAATAATATTATGGGTATTGTACTACTCCCTGGACGTGACCGTGTTCAGTCCACGTAGAATCTACGTCAGTCACACGACAGCCCGCCGAAAAAAAGTTACGGTCGGGCTGAAAAATGTACGGTCGGTCGGGTGATCGTGAGTCGAACCACAGACCTTCTTCAGTGTGGCCCAGGGAGTCGTAAATTTTACGACTCCCTGGTGTGGCCTTAATGTATTATTATTCAGTTTACTAATCTGGTTCAAAGCAGGGAGTCGTAAAATACCGGTATTTTACGACTCCCTGGTTCAAAGCTTTTTTTTTACTGTAACACAACTCTTTATTGCACTCAGAAAAATAATAAGGCACCCATTTTGATAGTCCAGGGGATGGCCCACGCCTGGTAAAAAGAATAAACAGAAAAAAAGAAAAAAAAAGAAAATAATAAGGCACCCATTTTGATAATCCAGGGGATGGCCCATGCCTGGTAAAAAGAATAAAAATAGAAAAGAATCATGACAAGTACATAATGACTAGACCTCTAGACAAAAATGTACATGTCTGACTTTAGTTCAACAGTCCTGCAAGGAAACACGTGCCTCGGCTACCACTACAGACGCGGGGTCCCTGGTGACACGGTGTGCGGATGATGATCTTGCCCCACGAAGGCACATCACGCTAGCTCGGACTAATGCAAAGCTTAGCTTGCAGCGAAGCCATGCCATCGTCACGGAGTACGGCTCCTTCAGCTTGTCAGATAGCATGCTGGCAAGACGCTTGAACAGGGCCGATGCACACTTGCTAGTGCCACCAGTGGCTGACAGCACTACTGGCACGAACGTGGCGCGGTCAACCTCAAGCAGACGCTGCTCATATCTCCGGCGTTTCTCCTTTTCATGACGTGCATACACTGAGGAAACTGAGGCAGCGCGATTTGAGGCAGCGTAGGGGTTGAAAACCCTTATATCAAGAAAGGTGCGCTCAAATCGGCCACCCCAGATTCCGTTGGCGGCAACATCAAGACGAGCCTGATCAGCGGTCGTTGTGGACAGAAGCCGGAATTTCTCTCCGGTGACTGGCTGCAGCATCGGCTCTGTGCACACACCATGCGTGACCTGACGCAGAACATCAGCCGTGAGGTCTCGAATTTCATTGTGTCGAATACTGGGGAATCCCCCAGTACTGCAGGACAAGGCATGGGTGACGTCAAAGTTACCATGGCCACAGACGCATCCTGATGGCAGGCGTGCTGGTGTCCACCCGTACCGGAGACAGAGGGCATCGCGAAACTCCGCCTTGGACAAACGAAATCCATGGATGGCTAGAGGGCGGCAGGTCAGCCAGCTGGAGGCCCCCTTCTCCGAAGCTAGGGTCAATTGCAGCTCAAGCTCTGCTCCAGCACCATCCTTGAAAGACTTCACGGCTGCCAGGAGGTTGGTTCGCAAAGTCGTACGTACCTCTGCCTTCATGCGGAGAACTTGCGCCGCGGTGCCATCTAGGGAGGAATCTTGGGCGATTAGTTTCTCCCACAGGGATGTCGTGATCTTGCGTGAATTGCGGTAGTTGCCGCCCATAGATGTCGGGTCGGTGATGCCAAGACCACCATGGCGACATGGGAAGGCCAGCAGTGCACGCTCCTGAGAAGACGGTGGCGCGTGGCCTGTCAGAGCTGGGATCAGGATGTCCCGAATCACGTCTTCAAGACGACCAAACAGTGCAGGGGCATCCTCAAGGGTTCTTGAGAGAAAGGACCACCGCGGCTGTAGTCCCTGAATGAAGGCACTGTAGGCTGCCTGAGGTTGAGTCGATGCAAATTCAGCCAGACGACGAATCTGCTGGACCCAGTCGGTGACCTTATTAGCAACGTACTCTTCCACAAAGGACGGCGTGCCAAGGGCTGCTCCTAGATGACGACAACCATCCTTCTCAATACGCACACCAGTACCAGCAAAAATCACAGTGGCTTCCTCGTACGCCTCGGGTTTCACGAGCAGGATCGACTTTGTTGCATTCAGGAAGTACCCATAATCCGACCCTTTTGCATTCAGGTCATCCCACCATCGCCGTAGCGGGCGTAGGCGGCCGCCAGCTGAAGAATCATCCGCGTACCATTCCTGTACCACGTCGGCAGAAGCAACATCAGCGATAAGCGGGGTGACACCCAAGGCATACATAGGCATGGCAATGGGGTCACCCTGGGTGGTGCCTTCACACGATAGAATACTTTCTCCGTCGACATAGAGACGAGCGGGGGATCGGTACGTATTAATGACCACTGGGGCCAGTGCCGGGCAGAGATGGCGGATGTTCAGGAGGCAGGCTTTGCGGTTCAACCGGTTGAAGGCGTTGGAGGCGTCCGCAAGGAGCACTCCATCCACGTCCGGATTGTGAAAGGTGTCGTTCATGGCGTGTATAGCAGCTTCGATCCCACTCGGTTGGCCAGCACAGAGCTGAAGAGAGCCTGCGGCAGACTGCACAAGGTCCCCAGTCACTGCAAGGATCGCCTTGCCCA